CAAATGAATTACAGTTATCGCCACATACATACACTGTATACCGCATATACACATTTTTTTTCATATTCAGTTATCTAGTCGAAGCTAATCACTAGAAATCGGATACAAAAGTACACACTACTTACAGTGTTTAACAACAGTAGACTAATATCTGTAAGCCTGAGGTGAAACTTTGATCACAGTTCATGCAATTTTGTTTATTATATTTTGATACCTGTTTCATGACTCATTTGATTGGACAAAGTTTTTAAAAAACAATATGTCCATTTTATATAGGAACCCATTTTACTTTAATTTTAATTAATTTCTCTGAAGAAGTTTGAACCAGCTTGCCGAACGGAGACGTTGGAATTACTCATTTCAATTTCGCTGGGACTTTACAAGTCTAATCGCTTACATATGTACTTAGAAAGACCTGAGAGGAGAGAGTCCACTAGGTTCTTCGAGCATATCCCTAAAAGTCTCTGTTTTCAAGACAGCGAAGTGTTCTCAAGCGCAACCGCCAGACATCTAAGTGACACGGGATATACAGAGGAAATTAGTTAGGCTTTCAAAATAATTAATCAATACAGAAAGAAAAGCATGGTTAATTAAGTTCGCAGAAGCCATTGCCATAATAATAATAATAATTTTTTTATTTCATACTAAAGAGATTATAGTATAATAATAATGTTAATGAAATGAATTTACACAGTACAGATTAATTCACGTCAAAAATGCACTCCTTTATTTGCTTTCATGGTTTACTTAGTTAGGGAACTGAAGGAAGGCTAAAAAGGAAACAGAGGGAGGAGCAAAGCGAGGGGGCTACAGTAGCAGTGATAATCTTAAAATAGGACAGAGACTAAAATACAAATAAATAAACAATACTAATGATAATAAAGAAGAAACCGGAAATAATTAGCAAGTGTCATTTTCTTCCTTCTTTTTCTCTTTAAAAGAACAAATAAATTACATAAAGACACAGAAAACACATACACACTAGGAATAAAAGGAAGTTGTGAAATAAGGAGAAACAGTAGGTCAAAAACACATGTTTAGTTGTAGTACTTTCTTCCATTTGTATTCACCTATGTGTAATCAAATGTGGAGCGTATATATATATATAATGTGCGTGGGTTTAAGGCGTCATTGAATTACAAGGTTGTTGTTGATTTTCTCTTTCTAGTTCAAAAGAAACACTACATACACATACGTGGAGCAAGAAATTACGACAAGAAAGAAGGCCAATGAAAATCCACTTTGATTAGAATGATGTACGAAATTTGAACAGCCTAAAAACACGAAGAAAAAAATTTAAGATAAAAAGATTTCTAGGCAAGAAATAAACCAAAAAAGGAAGAAAGAAAGTGAGGAATACGATTATTAGACCTACAAAAAGTCAAAATATACCTGTGCCAATGCGTAAATATAACAAAAGAATGAAAAAAGGAGAGAGGGAAAGAGTTAAACATGTATACAAATGGGGTATTGAGATGAGAAAGGGTGAAAGGTGAAAAAGGGATTCACGTTCATCATACTAGTAGAGCAGTTAAGACATCCACACTTGTACAATGACAAAGGGACATAGACGGGAATCAGTGAAAGGTGATTACATTACATTACAAAAGTGGGCATAACCATAGTGTATTTGTGTGTAAACCGAGTGTTCAAAAAGAGAATAAATAGAATACACACAGACACACAAGTATACACACGCATGAGATACATACAACTATTTATATTTATAATTCATCAATTATTGTACCTTATGCACAAACCAACCATAGATGCACAATGACAACATCGTACAGAATACGTAAAAAAGCACAACTATTCTTGATATTCTGGGCTAGTTTTTATGAATATTATGTACAAATTTATTTATAAAAGTAGTGTAGAATGTGGAGGTTGTGGCGGCAGTGGCGACAATGAAAAAGATGTATACAGTAAAATGAACAGACAAAGTAGGTTTTATTTATTTACTTTCAATCTTTCCAACCATTATTATTACTGTTGTTGTTGGTGTTATTAGTTGAAACGGTTGAATCAGTGATAAAATACATCAGAGATAAATTTTTAAGTGTTTTGTATGTTCACATATCATTATCATCATCATTAAGAAATTCGCAAGTGTATGTAGGTTAATTCAGAGGAATGCTTTGTTGAGGTGAAAAACAAAAGTTAGGAAAGATTCACAGATTATCTTAGAAACGCAGGAGAGAAGGAGATATCCAGAGTTGACAAATAAGTCAGTGAAGAGTAATATACAAATATATATGTATACATATAGTATATAACACGTATTTTTAAGATGAATTCATGCAATTAATTTTCAACTGAGAGTCTGGATTGTTTAAGTAGACATTAGTATGATCATTTACTGCTGTGTCTTTAAAATCAGATATTTCAGATTTACAATTTACATTGTATTTATCAGTTATAATAGATCCATTCAGTTTTTTGTCCTCTTTACAATAATCTTTGCTTATCACTGTATTATTACTACTACTAGCATTATCAATAGGAGAATTTTTACAGTTAACAATGATTTTTTTGTCTGGAGACTTGTCAATATTAGACTTTTTTGAATCACCTTCACTTACAACTGTATCATTTTCATTAGTAACTTCACTACTGACTGAATTACTAACTACTGATTGCTTTTTGTCATGATTTGAACCAGATATTTCTGAAGTGTTCTCAGTGCATGTAACTTTTGAGGATGTATCTACAGTTTGATGTGTACGTTCCTGTGAAACATTCGCCGATGTAGCAATTGTTGGCTCTAGTAATTCTGCTATAAATGCTGCAGATGGAATTGGTGGAATTGTCGGACATTTTATGTCTTCATCTATTTGACTATTATCTGGAAGCAAACGATGTAGAGCACCACATAAGAGATGGGCAACAGTTGCATCTAGAACACGAGAAGTTACCAAATCCATTAGTCTAAGTTCTAAGTCAGGTGTGAAGGAAGTACGACCTTTAGAATCAACAGCTAATCTGTCAAGCAGAGCACCTGCTCGACGAACCATTTCTAAACTTGTCCCCATCAATTCTGGTCTTTCTTGTAAGGCCTGAACACCATACTGATCAATAACTCGTCGTGTAGTTGCTTCAGCAGCTTCAATAAAAGCGAGTAATCCAGAGACTGGACAAGGTTTAGCACCAGCAAGCATGGTTGTACCAACATATGTATTTGTGGGTGTATTTGTTTCACTGGTACTCTTGATACTGGAAGACACAGAAGAAGCAGAAATCGAGGCACCTCCACCAGCAAGATAATGCATTGTAGATAAAGCTAATTCACGTGTCACTTGATCTTCAGGTACAGCAAGCCAAGTAGCTAGTCTGTCGAACAGACTGCTAAGTACTTTTTCATCTGAAGGAGTTGACATGAGGAGATCAACATTTGTTTCATGAACACAGAGACGATTTAAAGCTTCTAGAGCTAAACGACGAGGACTGAGGGTTCGATGACCTGGAAAAGGATCAACTGAAGCAGACGTCGTACATGTAATCCAATGCAAAAGGCCTTCTAAAATTGGACGAACTATTGACTCATCAAAATGAATTAACTCTAAGTAACCAGCTACATTCACTAATAATACCATAGCATTTTCCCGCATATCTTCCAACCATGTAGGTGTCCACCATGCACAAAAACTAGACTCTAAATTATGAGTTTTCCGTTCTACTGCATACCATGTATCGTTTTCTTCAACATGTTCATGTCCAAATAACATTAAGCGACCAATTAAAGCCAATACTCCTTTCTGATTACTTAAATGACGTTCAACTGTATTAATAAACGAAAGATTACGTAGAACAGTAGAAACGCATAGACATCGAACAGCACGTGCCTCATAACTGTCAGCTTCATTGTGATCTGGCCATAAGCAAATAGCACCATGATGAACTAATTCTTCACGGGCACGTAGTGGACAACGACCATTTTCATCAATCAATTGAGAAAATACTAAATCATCATTATCTTCGCAGCAATTAATTTCAGTGATAGAATTTGTATCATGTAACTCGATCAATTTACAAGGAATGTCTTCAGATACAGTGTCACATGTTGGTTGAGGAGATAGTGTAGGACAAGGAAGAGATGAAGAGGATGCATGACGCATACGTTTAGAATGAGGTTGATCATCATCTAATTCACCAATTTTAATCAATTCATCATTTGAACCATCAACTGAAACTGACTGTTTTAATGTAATACCAACTGTTGTTGTTGGTGGTGGTGGTGGTTCTGTTAATTTAGGTAAGCGATCATCATCAATATTAGACAATATATTTTCTTGATCATTCATCCAATGAGAACTTTGAAATGCATGTGCACCAAATGGCGGCATTATATGACATGTTGTATCACCTCCACCCTTTTCGATTAATTTTCGTAATGTACAACTGCTACGCTTTGTTACACTCGGCTTATTATTATTTTCCTGAGTTGTTGAGCAACTGCTATCAGTAATTTCAGATGAATGATTACTGTGTGATTCATCATGCAAAGCATCAATAACATACAAGGCTAAATCTTTTAAATTTGAATAAGCTTCTGGTGCACGTAGACTATCCATAATCGATGCAACTTGCGGTGTTGACCACATTACTATCCTATCAGCTTTACCCCAAGTTCCAACATTTGAAAAGTTTATATTAGAGGGCATAATACTTGCATGAAATTGTTCACCAGTAGATCCTGACATATAATTATTTGATGTTGTCGATGATGAGAATAGCATTTGTTTACCACGTTTCCTTGCACGAGAAGTTACAGGTATAACAGAATGTGTATTTGTATCAACTAGCTTGTTGGATGAACTGCACGACATAATAGCCGAATGATTGACAGTTGTGGTAGACATTGGAGATAAATTCTCAGGACGAAACATTAAACCACTACGGAAACGAACAGGAGTTTGAAGCGACCTGGAGTCATTGCGTTTACCCAATAGATTACGTAAACCATTACGCACAGAAGATAATGATACACATTTGATGGCTGCAATCTGACTAATTTCACGTTCTAAACGAATTAAAACATTAGCACTACCGCCACATGTGTTGTCATGAGGAGAAGACTTACTCTTCACATCCAAATATGATAAACTTGTTTTAAAATTACATGAATAATTGTTATGAACATTTTTCAATACTGAATTATGCTTTGTATGGTTTTGTGATGTGGATATGACGGATAAATCTGTTGGTAGTTCTAACGATGTGATAAACAGATCGTGATTGAATAATTCACCCAATGTATGTCGCCATATATCAACTAAACTAGTGAGTAATCCTGGCAATGCACTCGGAACGATAAGATCGAACCCATTCTCATCCCTCAGTAAAATATTCAAACAATTTAATGCCCAAGACACTTCAGCTGTCAGACCTGACCGGAGCGCCATCAACAGTTTGAAAGGAGGGATGGGACCTGAATATGAGGGAAAAACAGAATAAGAGCATAGCTAAGCGCGTCATTTGTAAATTAAAAAGCTGCACATGAAAATTCACAAGTTTCCTTTGAAAATTCAAAAGATATTTATATCGCAATATGTGGAAGTACAGCATTGAAGTACTCAACATATATCAGTCATATAGGTCCGGAAGTTGTTTAGGTGATGTCACCATGTGTGCCGAATTTGACATTAGGAAGCTGACTAAGCCTATCAAAGCCACTGGAAAACAACTCTCCTCTCAGCAAGTCAACCTCTAAAGCAGATAGTGTCTTCAACGTTGGGAACACAGCTTCAGAAAAGAATTTAGCTAGCATTCAATGACAGTATTCTCTATTCTAAAAACAAGGGCTCCAAAACTAGTGATGAACATCGACTATCCCAATGAATCGGAGACGTGACATCGCGCGCAACGAGTGGGTCATTAGTACAAAGGTGAAATGGAGAAGATGAGAGATTATGGGCAATCGTGGGGCCAGTTGAAGAGAACAGCAGGGAATAAAACAAAGTGGAAATGTGTTGTTGAAGCCCTATGTTCCACTCAGAACCCAAGGGAATAATAATGATATAAACACTCAAATAACTGCTGTAAAAATCCTAATTATTCACCTCTGAAGTGAGTGTAACTGTAAGCTCATGTCAATTTCACTGCAACTCAAGGGAACAATAATAATAACAAATAAGATCTTTGTGTGAGAAAAATGAAATACTATGAAATAAGCATAGACATACCTCTTTCGTATTTCAATACAACGCTATAGTTTTCTATGTCATCACCACCTTTGAGGGCCAACTCATTGTGGCCCCAAGTGATGCGAACGCACGGGTGACCTTGAGCGCCAACCAACCATAAAAATAAGTGATTTCTTCACAAAAATGACGCTTATTTACAAAAATTCATGAAAACATATCAAACAGGGTATCTTAAAATACGTCCCAGTTATAATGAGGAGCATCAGCTTTTTATCTGGACCAGTTTCTGTATATGTATTCACCGAGGTGACTTAGGGTGAGCTTTTCTTATGACCCGTTTATCGCTGTTATCCTGTTTCACAGTCCTCCTCAAAAGCCCTCAGTTGAATTGATATGGTTTCCAGTAAGATGATCGATGACTACTTACCAGGAAAATGTGGATAATAAAACAAATTGAAATAAATAATACCAGCTCCAAACCTATCCATAATCATAACCCTAACCTTAATTATAACCCTCGTCCTAATTGTAATCTTAAGCCTAACGCGATATTAATATATTGTTTAAAAAGTACTTAATAATATGATCTGAATGAAATTTGCTACCTAGTTAGTGAACAGTGTTCATATTTGCACCATAATAATAACTGTCATCAGGCAACTACTAGCACGCTTTCAAGGTAATTGAAGCGTTCGCACCCCTGGGATCCTATAGTTCAGACTACACCCTCATCGCCTCTTACGTGGTTAAACTGCTTATAAGATTCGCTAAAATATGATGCTAAAGTGACCTAGTCTAAAATCACCAGTGCTATTTCTTAGCGTGATGGACTGGATTATGTGCAAATGACCTCAGGGAGTGAGATAAAATGAATCGGAGATGTAGAAGGAAAACTTTAACAATCATTCTGAATAGATCCTCCCCAGTCTTTCTCAAGAAGACAATTGATAAACTAGTGAGAGAATTGGTTAGGTCATAATAATAGTATGAAAAGTTGAATGCCACATCAATGTGTGACAAGGCCATTTATCTGAGCCCATCTATAAAAAGTACTTACGTAAAATTATGACAATCATTAGGCTTCTTAATTTATTTATGGTGAGGTCAAAAATACCGGCTACTGTCGTACCTTGCAGCCTTATAAACTAATTCAATAAAATCATCCAGAGGTTCCATTTAAGCAATGGCTACATCAAGTGTTACAACACTATCTCACTTATTACAGTCAAACTATCATCATTTCTCATTGTGGCCACCTTAAAGTCCTTGGACAGGGCTACTCTTTTGAGTTAAAAATCCCCATTGAGTCATTTGAAAAAGCGAAGACGTTCAGAGAAGAGACTTTCTTCCGCGAATTCATTCACATAGCTGTACAATCTGATTTATATATAATTATTTGTGTGTGTGTGTGTTTACATGAGGTTTGTTAAGTTTCGATGATTAATTACCTCTGCTGCTATCCTGACCTAGATTGAAACATTTTAGTCAATTATATTACGTCAACTAACTTACTAACTCAGCCTTACTTTAGTTGCTGTCTAATCAACATGGTTTCTATATTAGATCATTCTTGTATTACCTGATCAATCATCAAAACTTGACAAACCTCATGTACACACAAACACACAAATAAATAAATAAATGCGACTGTACAGTTAGGCGAATGAATTCGCCGAAAAGTCTCTTCGCTGAACGTCTTCTCTTTTGACTTATCTTTTAGAAATCGTCTCCCAGAAGCATCTATGCAAGAAAACACCTCAGGTAGAATTAGAGCACCACACACACATCAGTCACAGCCTGAATGGAACATTGACACAGAAATGAAACGTTAGCAAGGACACTCCTCCCGCCCCCCACACTTGCGAAATAGACTGTAAATAAACTAGAACAGGTAGGTTTGGTGCGCTATTTCTAGAAGAACTTAGGGAAAGTTGCCTTAGAATACAAATAAAACACAGGCTTTTTATAGAAAGGAACAAGTAGATAATCTAAAGAATTTCTAGCACCTCTGTTTAAAAAAGCAAAGTCAAGTAATAAAAAGATATGTATGGGTATGAATGTCCTTAAACATCCGTGAATGAGTCAAATTTCACCTACCTAAATCCTTTGCTCGATAACGTCGGCGTCGAGGTGAATCGATTGGTGTAGCTTCAACACTACCAGGTGGGAAAGTATAATGATCCAAACGTTTGAGAATAGTAGCAACATATCCTGGTCGCTGGAACAAAAGATAGATGTTGTCAAGTTTACATATGAAAAAGTGAAGTAATGGCTCACGTGTTACGTATGCCTAGCCATCCCCTTCTTCGACAATGGGCAATGTTAGCTGACATAGGGTCAGACTAGAAAAGAGCTAGCGGAGGTCAAACAAAAACATGGCAACAGTCAATGAAATCCACAACAGTTAGTTTAAGCCACGTAGGAAGATGTAGACTTCCTGGTTGGGGTCCTTGGGACAGTAAAACCAATGGCTGGAAACAATTGGTGATATGGCTCAAAATCGTTCTCAATGGCTGGCGTAGATGCATCCACTCCTTGTGACTTATGATCTCCAATGAAACTATATTGTTCTTCGTTATTACTATTCTTTTGTCTCACTCCTCTGTTTACTGTCTCTATTATGCATTTTTTCTACTTTCTTCTCTTGCTGTGTGCTACATGGAAGGAGTGTGGCGACTTGAACTGCCACACATCGGTGAAAAGTTCTATATCGAAAACAGACAGACAGAAGTAATAACTCAATCTACTTAACTAAAGTAAACATCAGTTTTACGTAAGCTGGTGTTAAATTGAATTCAATGATTGATGCTTTGCAAACTTTTAATGTTACACTCCCATACCACATGATCTACTGATGCTAAGTTCGATATAACATGAGGTTGTAGTTAACGTCTGGTTAAGCTACAAAAATATGGCAAAGCAGCTATTGAGTGTTCCTTAACTTTTAAATACTTCTTAGCTGATGTCCATGGAGAATAAGAACTACTTTAGAGTCATTTATCGATTCTACTCAATAGTATATCTTTTACATCCGAATTTCAACCAATAATGGAGAAGCACTCACTCTCATCTTTAGGGCTGCACACATAATAGCTACTAATCATTATTAAGTCATTCTTTTTCTCCGAAATTTTCGTCGATTATGGTGCAGTTGAATTCAGTATCGGATGCACACTTTGCTCCATATAAAAAACACAGGCTGTGAATTACAACCTAAGACTTCATAATTGAAGAGGTGAATCATTATTATTACCCCAGTTGACACGTAACCTATTAAGATAACTACAATTGATTATTCATAAACAGATTCCAATAACAGATAAACAAATAATGTATAGAAAGTTAGTTTCTTTCACAATTTAACTCCACCACACATTGTTTATTTCAAAAGTCACCATGTAAATTTAAATACACACTGGCATTTAATAATCTTTATATAATCGATGAAAAAAGTTCACATATTGAGAAGTACACCTAGTTGTAAATCTATTCTTTTTGTCTAAATTTTGATTTATTACAGTTAATCAATCGCTTCTCGAAAATTTCAACACTGGCTTCAACTATTTGGTTCAGTGATGTGACGCATTCGACTTCGAGGCAGTCAGTGAGTTCAAATCTCGCTCCGTTTACTTTAGCTGGGATTTAATTAGTTTAGTCAGCCATCACAAAACAAATGCGGTTCACAACTGGGTGGTACGTAACCAAGTCTAAACTACTGGTCAGTCTATTTCCATTATACACAATAAGTAGAGGGTTTGATGTATACATACACATATACATGTCTTGATTTTAAAGTTCACTAGTGTTCACTGTCCAAATATCAAATAGCATCACAAAACTGTTTACCTTAAATGAATAACACAGTGAATAATCTTAGATCTACACAGAGCAAACAGATAATATTTTCCTCATGGTCGAAATACGTTTATGTGGATAACAACAAAAAGTCTAACTGATGCTTATTATTACAAGTGAGCAGTCATTTAAATGATTTAAAAAAATATAAAGTATTACATCAAGTAAAACCTAATCAATCAATCAGACTTTTGACTGAAAGATTAGGCCCACTTACCTGATTCCCGTGTTGAGTCAGATGAGGCGGTAAGGGTGAATTCTGACTTAAATTACTATTGTTGTTATTGTTATTATTGTGAGCAGAATAAGGAGTTACAGCACCGACGGACATATAAGGAGACATCGGAGGTGCGCCTGATCTTAACTGGTGCATACGAAACATAGCAACTGAATCACTACTAACAGCATTGGGTGGAGTAGCAGTATTGAAAGACGGTGTACGGAATGAATGGTTAGTTGGATGACGTGGATGTATAGGCGATTGAGATCCTGTGAATGGATGATCCATAAGTTGTGGAGGACCATGGTGTTGACTAAGTACAGGATGAGAAGGATTAGAAACAAATACAGGATTTTGAGGTAAATATGGGTTAAAATTATGTTGCGCCATAGGTTCTGTATTTCCCGAGGGAGCCGAAGACGCGCAGTTAGGATTGGGTCCACCAGCATACACATTAGAAGGGAGAACATTACTGTTGAATGAGATACTTCCAGACGGAATACGACCTGTGGACAAAATTGTGAAGAATTGATCAGTCGACACATTAAAAGCTTTTTAAATAAAAATACACCAGATAAGATGTTAGTGTACGGCTTCTTACGTGACAAATACAAAATGTAAGACAGTGGTAAAAGCAAAAAAAGTGAAAACATTATTAGCATTACAAATTCTTGTCACTTGTCACACATTAAGGCGTACTATCCATCTACACTTTGTGTGATGGAATTCATTTATAGAATATGTATAATAACCACGCAAACCATAAAAACAAACACACTAGCTCAAGATAGGAAAACAATTCCAGAATGAAGCCGCATCTTCAGACATGAGACGTTCACTGCGATGTAATGTTTGGACAAACATTCACTGTTATCTTCAATGACACAACATTAATCTTTTCAATAATTCTCACTTAGACATTTCAATAAATTCAATTTTTAAGGTATATCTAGAGTAAACGAGAATTATTTGAAGATTTATTGTTATTTTGCTAATTTAATTAACTGACATAATTCAAAAAAGATTTAATGCAAAAAATTTCAGTACATACTTTGTGCGTATTGAGATGAGGTAGCTTCTCTAGTAACCAGGATACCACTGTGTTCCATTGTTGACGATTCCGATGCTGCTGGGGTTTGGTGAGTACCTGATTCAGAGTTACTATTTTCAGGTGTCCAAGGCCATGGACAGCAGTTGCTATCGGAAGCAGAAATGGGTACGTTTGAATAACCATTAGCAACCGTGCATGAAAGAGGACGTTGGGGTGAAGGGACATTCATAGTCGCAGGGCCTGAAGATGGTAAGTAGGAATTACTACTTTGTCCTGATAGCCCAGGTGGGCTAGGGACATTCGGAATACCATTAGGACTTTCTGGAACGGTAGAAACACTACCTGGCTGACCATGGTCACTGAAACGATGTTGCTGAGATGAAGGAGGTCCAAGCTGACTGTCACTTGCGGCGCTTCCAGCAGTCCCACTGGGACCACCGGATAATGAAGCTCCACTGCTACCCGGAGGTAAAAGACTGGATGATGCAGAAGAATGACTTCCAGTTGGTGAAGGTGGAGCAGGAGGGGGTAGATCATTAGACAAACTGTTTGGGTCACTGTCAACTGAAGAACACTTTCTCTTTTTGCCAGACAGATTTTCTATGTGCGTAAGTAAAGGCCGAGGATCAGATCCATCACGATCAAAGCGACACTCGTACTCCAGTAAAAACTTACAATAGTTTTTGCGTAAACCATATGCTGCTGAAGCAGATGCATTGATGCCGATCGCCTGACTTACTTCTTTCCACCTTCTAGCTTTAATTACTTCTGCCACACCACCACGTTCTCTTACAGCCACGTAGAACCGATAAAGATCAAGAGGCTGTTTGACTACTTGAGGGATACCGACAACCGGCTTCCCAATATCATCCATAAAACGCATGTAGTTCTCCAACCATGGTCGCCGTTCAGGTTCATTTCCCATCTCCAACAATTTATGGAAGCCAGTAAGACTCTGACTTGATAAATTATTCAAAGTTTGATTAAGGTTTCCGACATCTGAATGTGTTTCATCACTAGAATACAACGAACTCTGATTATCAATCGGGCCAGAAGTATTTTGGGGTTCTGGTGGTACATGAGAGTTAGGTATGGAGTGATACTGTTGTTGAAAACTCTGGAAAGTAGATGAACCTTGTAGAATTTCTCCACCACCACTAGGAGCTCCAAATCGATGAGATCCTATTCCCGAAGGATAGTTTCCTGGGTATTGCTGCAGCATTTGTGGATGACTAGACTGCCCTGGTACACGATGCTGATACTGTTGTGGAAAATTCATAGAGTTCACTTCAGTTGGCCCTAGACCAGTTTGGTTGGTACTAATTTGTGAAGATGCCGAAATCGTAGAATTAACTGGACGAGTTAGTAACTCAGACTTTGGATAAAAATTAGAGAAAAAAAGCAACAAATCAAAAGTAATTCATTTACAACATAGTAAAATTGATATAAGGCTATTGTAACAGAAAATTCGTCCTAACAAAAGCTAATCAACAATGACTGGAACAATCCCATTAATCGAATATGTTTAAGTCAACAACATACTCTGTAAGTTACTGGTAACGAAATATTTAATAACCTATGCTCTGACCATGTTCAAGGCAAATCAACTGTATACACAAACCTAAGAGTCATTCCCATGTCTATAGAATAAATTCCATTAAGTGTATCTGATTTTTCTACCAATGCTCCACATCACCACACACACACACACACACACACATTTAGTCGTATTGACATGATAATGCAATTATATTTGTATCCATATAAAAAAAATATAGTTATACTAAATGATTGGTCTTATAAAATTATTTCTAAAGAGTTGAGCTACTATAGACATAAATAAGTAGGTAGGAGAAAATCTCCTTTTAAATCAATGATGATAGAACGTCGTTAATAAAATATGGTTACTTTTCGAGCAACAAAAATGTTGCGTTAATTCGAATGTTTCTCGTAAGTAGACGTTTGCATCATAAACATAAATGAAGTTAAAGAACTCTGAAGATCAATCATGTAATATGTTGTGTTCTTGGAAAGTTGAAGAGTAAACTAGGTCACCTGAAGATGATTAAAATCATCACCGACCGCCATACATTAGCAGCGATTACACCTTTTATTAATTATCATACTTGAAAAAAGAAACAATATAAAAGAACCTATTCATTTCTATAATAGAACCACTCTAAGATTGAAAACAGTTAAATGAGAAAAAGTTATTTCAATGTACTGCTTCTTTGAAGTAGTATCTAACAGTATTTACAGTTGTTTCGGAAAACATTTTCTATATCGTCCTTGTATTTTGTGCTTATAACTGACTCCGTTGTAATATTACCTACATATGTGAATTAAGAACTACGTGCGGGATTTTTAAAAGTTTAACACCTAGACACTAATGAGCTAGAGAGTTCTACTGTGAAATATAAGAAAATATGAATGTTTGGAAATTAATGATTGAGAATAATTGCTCTATATCAAGCAATAGTTAAAACACATACAGCTAAGGTTATTTTAAAAGATTAGGTTAAGCTTCACTGTTAGAATGCTCGCCGCCAGTTACACGGGAGGTCCCAGCTGACGTACTCCTAAACCTATACGATAGTAAACGCAAAAAGAAAGCGAAGACGACTGGGAGTGAAACCAGCAACGCCAACCCCCACGTGGAAAGAAAATTAACCGATACTGAAATTTCAAAGCTTGAAGCCCTAGGTTCCTCACTCAGAACGCAAAAAATGATTTTTTTTAAAAGGTTAAAAACCAGTTAGGGATAAAAATAAAGATATGATGCATACTCACTTTTGTCATTTTTCCACCGGCAACAACTGGTTTTGAAACACTATTTATGACTGATGATGGTCTAATATTGCCAGGTGATCCTCCATTCTGAGGAAATGATGCTGGTGTGAAATTCTCATTCGATGAAGACACTAAAATTATACACATCAAACAAAAGTTTCAGGTTATTCACATATTCATGTAAATAGTTTCGACTTATTTTTTTACTACGACTTATAGTGAAGGAATATAAAGAATATTGCATTCGTTTTCATCCAAAATGAGAATCATTAATTTACTGGACAGTGTAGCATTGAACTGAATTTTTAACGTAGAACTTCGCACAGAAGTTGCAGTAGTCCAAGTTTCCACACTTCTTCATAAAAGCATGAGTCCGATTCGAGTACATACATTAGTGAGATATACTATCTCTGAAGTGCATTACTCATGGTCAGACATTGTCAATGTATTTTTCGTCAACAGAATTAAATGCTGTCTTCACATCAAGAAATACGGTAAGTATCCTTATGGTCCAGATTTTGTCTAAAAGTGAAGATAGAATGAATACACCCTCATTCAGGTCTGAAGTCCACTCAGTATTCACGACTTTTTTCCCTTGATCACCGTTTCGTTTACACAGAATCATGAAACTTAGGATCTTCGATTACTGTAGCTGTTATATCTTCAGAGTAATCAAATTATCACATATTACGCCTAAAAGTAGTAGGCGCTATAACCCTACAGTATTTCATCCAGAACAGACATGAAACTAGAGTATATAACGTTGTACACAAAAAGAAATTCATACAAACAGAAGAAAATTACAAGAAAAGGATGAAATACAACTAGAAGAAATACCTGAAGGATGTTGTTGCACATCATGCGGATAATGCATATGAAATCCATCTCTAGAGTTCAGTAGATGATGCGGTAAAGGTGATGCATTATTAAGCATTGGTGAAGAGTACGTTGAAGCCATAGCACCAGTAGATGCTGCCATATGTTGTTGCTGCTGCTGTATTACTGGAGCACCAGGTCCTGGTGAATAAGGATGTGTATATTGCGATTGAGAGTGGTAAGGCATTTGAGATTGTGAATATGGATACTGAGCATGATGAATTGCATACGACGACAGAGACTGATTATGAGGATAGGGTCCAGTAGCTGAGGGATGTAAGTGTTGTCCATTATGTGGTACTGAGTTTGAAGCATTGGAACTTGGAACTGATGAAGATGGAAGATAACCACTTCCACGGTCTGGTGGACCAATATATGGTGGACGACCACCTAGTATATATAATAAACACAGGTTATTTAAATTTATAAACAATCCAGCTTGATTTCTAAAATAATTCCGAAAAATAGTACCACTCACACTATAACACAATTATTTATCTCTTCAAAATAGATAATAAATGAATGTCAATTGTAAGACGATGTAAGACCCAACCGATATGCACTGATTACAAGTTTATAGATTAAGGAGTATGAATAGGTAAAATATGTTGGCCACTATACTTATTTAGACTGTGACTACTGAAGGGCTAGTGTTCATGACTTGCTAATTTGTGTCATTTTCACCACCAACGTGGAACTACCTTTGCGATATGTTCAAACATATCAAAAAGGTGACAGATTCAACTACCATTACTATTAGCACACTGGATCAAATGAAATGTACTTATCAACCAATTGGGTCACGTGAGATAAGAACTGTTATAAGCAGTTTTGATCTATTCATATAAAAACTTCATATTCTTTACATTCTTCACTTTATTTTACCTTTTTGTCTTAGTATTTATAACTTAAAATTTAATTACTTATATTTCTTTGTATTCTCCTTTTTCACTGCTAAACTTGATGCAACAGAGTTAAGCAAAACAAAATGCACCGTTAAATAACTGCCTATGCTGGGCAATATCTTGAGCAATTATCTATTTCTGATTCTGCACAAAGAAACACTACAGAAATGCAAAGCAGCCCTATTTAGCATATGGTAATATAAAACTCTTTTGTCCCACTAAGTTTGCCTGCCTTTTTCTTCGCAATCCATTTATTCCTCAGATCCATTTACATCTCTCACCAGAGGCTAAACTATTGATCTGGTCAGGGAAAACAGTAAGGAATGGAGATTCAACTTAATAGTTATGTGTAAATACTTAGAACACTCAAACCAAGAATGAATATGATACTTGGATAGATTAAATTGAAAACTGATCTAATAGGAAAGTAAGAAATTCAACATATCACACAGTGCTATTATGTACTAAAATTAAGGGAGAATCGAAATGAACAAAATCATTCAGAGCTCACCGAACTGGTGATGAAACATATTGCTGGGGTGATGCGGTGTTGGTTGGTATGAAGCTTCTTGATCCCAAGGTAGATGAGGACCGTGAACAGAACCTGGTGTGGCATAACCGCTGCTTGTAGAAGATACAGGTGTTGAATATGGAAGAACTTGCGAAAATGGTGGTTGTGAGGGTCCATTATTATCACCAGCACATGACTGACTTGATGAGACAGAAGCTGGAGGCAATGTTGGTGGGGGTGGCATTGAGCTTGTACTAGCTGGTCCACTAGAGGACTGAGTCTGAAATTGTTGTCTATACGGTATACTATCCGAAAGAGAGACAGCTGCATGCATAGATGGAGGACGCAAAGAATAACCAGCTGAAGGAAAACCCGGTGTACGACCACCTGATGAATATGGATTATTGGGAAGAGGAGCTTGTGGATGAGAATACGATGGATATCCCATACGCAGAATGCCCATTTCTTGATTTGATACTCCTTGAGGGCGAGGTGACGGCACTGTCTGGCAGCTCTGGTATGGTCCTTTAGTTTGGCCTAAGTCAGAAATAAACAATAATTATTATTATTATATTATTATTTTTTCCTTCACGTTCCCAGTGGAACATAGGGCTTCAAGCTAGTGGCTTGAAGTTTCTGTAGCAGTGTTTATTTTACAGGATGCGGTTGCTAGCCTCATGCCCAACCTTTCCTCTCTACCACCATTATGTCTGGCTTAGAGAGGTAAAGGAGTGCATCGGCTGGGGATCGAACCCCGGACCATGTGCATGGTCAGCGAGCTATGCTGACCGCTATGCCAACAACGCACCAAAAATAAATAAAGTGATACAAAAATATAGTGAATAATTCAAGAGGAAAATGGACGAAAAATGTAAAGTGACAGACACCTCATTGGAACGAATATTGACAGTGATGGCCTCATAGTTAACTAGGGCTTTCCGGTATCCAGAAAGCTTAAATATACATATCCAAACTGTTGTTTCATTAGATAATAAATCATATTTAATATTTACGTTATAACGGTAAAACTTTTACAAAGAAACTAGTGATTGCTTAACAATTTATTGAACTATTATGTCTAGAACTAAACTGATATGCATACGAGAATGTAGAATAATGAATTTAGTCGCGAAGATGTTAGTGGCAAAATATTCTCTAAAACAGTGTCTAACGTAGACGAAAATACTGATTCTACAATTTCATACAGAATAGCATGCTGTCACAGTCTTCAAAATTCTACTGCTTTATGAATGAAACAGAGGTTATCAAACATTTTCTATAAAATTATAAATTATTTAAATCCCAGATTGTGAATATGGATACTGAGCATGATGAATTGCATACGACGACAGAGACTGATTATGAGGATAGGGTCCAGTAGCTGAGGGATGTAAGTGTTGTCCATTATGTGGTAATTAACACGGCGGGATTAATTTAAATAATTCATAATGACTCTGCGTTCAAATTATTCCAGGAAGTTCGTAACACCTATGGTCTGGGAACTTATAATTTCCTATAAAAGTCTAATCAACTACAAAAACACACAAACGGTAATAGTCACACATAATGACTAGGGACTTACCAGTTTATAAGATTACAAAACATTGTTATATCTGTAAAACAAACTCTCCCCTCTCAATAAATATGTCATCGATCCACCTCATTGACGTTATGCTAAAAATCAAGTTGCTGTGATTCCCCAATGCAACGGAGATTCTTCACTGACATAAGAAAGCCACATCAGATTGAAAGAAGTTGCTATGGGTGTAAAGTTTTAAAGCACTTTGGATTTCGGTTCTGACTTTTCTGATTTAGTGATGTGAAATCAAAATAATACCCCAGTGTTTAAAGTCAGATTGTTAGTTAGGGTAGAGTTAGAGACGAATATCGGTTTGGTATGCGACTATGACGATAGACATATATTAAAGAAACTGAAGCAAGGGAATCAAATGGATATGATACAATTTTCGAGACTGTCCATCAATGTTTCTAGTACCAGTCTGTATGCATAAAACTTTCTCATGCAACATCTGTTGTGATTGCTCTTAAAAAAGTGAAGGAATTCGCGTCTTTTGGAATTTACGAAACGGTAATGAACAGAAACGTCTAAAATTAGTCGATTCTCAATTCTTAATAGTTCACAACAAAAACGAACACCAAAAATCATTTCAATTTATCCAATTTTAACTCACCAGGACTTGCACATGTGGCTGGCTGACTCTGGATATTCGTAATTTGTGTAGTCATTGGGGAAGACGATGATGCTGGAGCTTGTACAAACGATGGAAAATTTTGTGCAGAAGATGCTTCATGAGACACTGAAGACAGTGGACTAACTGACGACAAATTGGCGATAGAACTGGATGGAGTGGACACTTGTGGATGTGATATGCCATCAGCACTAGGATTCTGTCCAGTAGTTTCAACTAAAGATGTAGTAATTTGGATATCAGATTGGTCCTTCACACCTAAAGTCCCACCCTTGGCAGCAGATGTTCCAGTCTATTTAAATTTTAATAAAAAAACGTTATTGAAACTAAAAAAAATATTCATTATTTTCAAAAAGTTACTCCGTTTTACACAAAATAACGGCTGTTATTCTTAAAACTATGTCGTGAAGACCGTTGGTGGTCTTTCTCAATACAAAAGCGGAACTGCTTAATCTAATCATTAATGTAATCATGTGCACATGTAGAGTAATTTATACTCCGTTTATATATGTCCCACTTATTTTAAAACAAAAGAATGAGTGATAGGAAAACCTTGTACAACTGACTAACTGTATTCAACATGAATGCTACACTGACGCGCAAAAATATCATGATAAATACAACTCTACATTTGGAAACTGAAAGAAACAAACTTCGTAACTGCATTACTAGTGATCAATAAGTGATAATATAATCCTTGTCTTATGGTTATATCATGAAGAATTCGTCACCTTACTTAAACAATGAACGATTACTGAGTTTCGTATCCCATATCTAACCTTAGAATTGATTGACTGACTGACTGACTGGTTTCAACATAGAACTTTGCACCGATGTGAAGCAGTTCGAGTTGCCACACTTCACTCAGCACAGAAGAAAGTGAAGAGAGTCTCAAAACAGAGATAATAAACAGAAATATGGGGCAAAAAGAACAGTAATATCGAAGAACAATATAGTTTTATTGGGTATTATACGTCACAAGGAGTGGATGCATTTGCGCCATTGAGAATGATTTTGAGTCATATCACCATTTGTCTCCAGCCATCAGTGCTTACCGTCATGAAGATCCCAACCAAGACGTCTACATCTTACTAAGTGGCTTAAATTAACTGTTGTAGATTTATTTCACTGACTGATGCCATGTTTTGGTTTGACCACCACTGGCTCTTTTCCAACCTGACTCTGCCTGTCGAGGAAGGAGATGGCTAGAGGCATGCGTAACCATCTCAGTCGATGTCGCTCCACAACCTCGTCGACTGATTTCCCCTTCAACTCATCTAGTACTCGACGCCTAACCTCAATATTGCTGAAGAATGAAAGAATCTGCACTCGTGTCACCACTTAAAAGGATCTCTACAGTGAATAAAGTAAGACATAACAGTGCCCCTAATCGGATCTAGTGAGAGAGAAGTGAAATCAATAAAGACAAGAATAACTGAAGCATAACAGTTAAAAAACAATGAGGGATTGGAAAAGAATATGAATTTATATTCACTTGTATGCCTGACACCACAGTACGTAAATTAACCTTTCTATTGGCTACAAGTTTGAGAATGTTGACAACCTACCTTCTAGAGTATTGAGATTACTAAGTTTAATACAGTGTGACGAAACAGAGGTAAATACTAACTACTAGGATTATACTCCACGTATTTAAAGATGAGTATTGAGATCAGATAGACTAAAACACCTTCACTGACAATGGAAACCAAGTAACAAAATAGGTTATCGCTCGGAATGAAAAATATGTTGATAACGACACACACATTACATTCTACAGTAATTGACTACAGCTCTCATGAAATCCAACCAATGTTAATTTGAATAACCCAAAACACTTAACAAAGAATGCAACTACATCCAGAGGACGAGTCCCAAACAAGAGGAAGTGCACATCGTAGGTCTCACCACTAGCCACTTCAGATCAAGTAACATCAACCAACAAACAGGTTGAAGTGAATAACAAATCTCAGACAGTGACAGGTAGATAATTTACTAATACATCTGCATTTCACACCTAAAACCTCAGACTTAATCTCTGCACCGTTAACAACTTGAATTCACCATAAGCGAGTGACATTAAAACACCATGTGAATAATGACATCTGGCCAATGAAGATCACCACTTCTGCCACATATCTTTGAGTGGGAACATAGTTACAGTACAAGAACCGGGAAACGATGTTTGTTAGTCACGAAAAAAGGAAAGTTTTATTTTATTTTATTTAAACGCAGAAAAAACTTGGTACAGTATGGCACCAAGAAGGATGCGCCACACAATAATAATAAAACAGCATAGACCAAAAAAAAGAAAGATAGAAA